GCAGAGGAACAAGTAGAACGTTCTGGAATGACCATCTCAGTCCCCAGACCTGAATATTATTAAAAATCTGTGGTGTCACTTAAAGACAGCTGTCCATTCTCAGAAACCATCAAACCTGAATGAACTAGAGATGTTTTGTAAAGAAGAATGGTCTAAAATAGCTTCAGCCACAATCCAGACTCTCATTAGAAGCTATAGGAAGCATTTAGGGGCTGTTATTTCTGTGAAAGGAGGATCTACTAAATATTGAGTTAAGATTTTTTTGGTGCCCAAATTTATGCACCTGCAAAATTATGTTAAACCAATTATTTCACACTTTCTGTAAATCATATAAACTTCATTTCACTTCTCAAATATCATTGTGTTTGTCCCCTATATGATATATTTAACAGATTTTTTGATTCAAACAATCAACGATTTATAAAGGTAAATCGGGAAAATTAACAAGGCTGCCCAAACTTTCACATCCCACTATATTTTAAGAAATCAACACTGTGAAGGACCTAAATTCCATTGTTGTGATTTCTTATTTGTGTTTATTTCTAGGTGGCAGGGATATGAAGGATTTGTTCCCGTTCACTGGCTTCCGACAATTGGGTGCAGTGACTGGGAGTTTTTCAGCTTCAAAGGAGAATCCTATTTAATCTACTCGAGCGCCAAAGCACCTCTTGCCAAAGTATTCAAGCTGAAAACTTATTAGAGAACGAGTGTGCTTTTAGTACTCACGTTGTATATGATTTATCATGTATTTTCATATCTTTGTAGGCAGAAAAAGTTTGTGAACAACATAGCATTTACAAAAAATTAATTTAACAGTCAAACAAATTATTGAATTTATATTTTTGTTTATAAAAGCTTTAGCTCATGAAAATCTTTTTGTAAATCTTCACAACCAATATATATGATTTTAAAACATGATGGGGCTGTATTTGTGAGGATTGACAAGAAAAGAATATACTCAAGCTCCTTCAAAATCACAATTTATCTATCAGTAAAGAATTAATATTAAACATTATTTAATTATTATGGTTACCTGGGTATTATAACATGATATGTAACTTTTTTGTTTATMATCTAGAATATTTATTTTCTTTCCTCTTATTATATCACTTTGTACTAGACTTTTGAAATTACCTCTGAATGAATTRCATTATTTATGATTAAAACTGATTGTAAATTATAGAAATTTTACTAATCAATGTTTGATTCATTTTTATGCATTTATAATAATTTGTTTTGTTCGTTTAGTCTGTGGAATACTTGAGCACTTAATTTTCAGAACATATAAAAAGAAAAGCTGACTATTTAGTTTTATCTATAAAAAACTACAACTCCCACAAGGCCACTGGTCAAAACCCGTGAAGTTACCAGAAATGTCGTTTTTACATACATACAAGTGAAATTTGTTTTAAAATATACGGCTTTAAATATCATGAAAGGAGTGTTTAATAAAATGTTAAAGTTTTGTAAGTAAATAACAACAGCATACGTGTTTAAGTTAAACACACCAGTCTAACTCCAGTTTCTTACTCGAGTTTCGCTCCATGACTAATGACGGTACTACAAGTCCCACAATGCATCATTCCCGTCTTCGACGAGGAGAAACATGGCGGCTCACTGTTCAGTTGCGGTGTCTTTATTTACGTTTCGTTTGTTAGCTTTTTTAAGACAAACAGAGGATGTAAGAGCTTGTGTCCGAAACCTTTTTTGAGTAAAAGTTTAATTCAATTATTAGTCGTTGTTTTTGTAACACGGCGCTGCTTTGTTTTAGTTATTCGGGCACCGACTGTCAGATTTCTCATATCAGTTTTGCTAGCCAGTCAATCTGTTCGTCGGTGAAAGGCTGCGATTGATTGTCCCTTTGTAGTCGTGCTAACTCGGTAACGCAGCTATAAACGTTGTACAAACACAGAGGGTAAGAGTCGCAATGTTTAACCCCGTAAAKTCCTCTTACTTCAGAGTGAGTCCAGCCATTGTCAACCGAGAACTCGGCAAGACTAAGATGAGATAGCAAGAGGGCACGTCGGAGTGCTAACACGCGTTTTGCTGCTTTAGTGATATAAACACAGAAAGAGAGAGAGAGAGAAAGAGGAAAACTCAGCTCAGAATGTTTGGAAATCTATTTGAAGACGAGGAGAACGAAGGCTTCTCTTCTACCTCCTCCAAAGAAAGAACTCCCAAAGCGGGTGATGAGCCACCTCCTCCCCGTGGAGCAAGCAACCTGTGCGGCATYAAGAACCAGGGAGGGACGTGCTACCTGAATTCTCTGCTCCAGACTCTGCTGTTCACCCCTGAGTTCAGAGGTACGGGCAGGTGACTCCCCCTCCCTCCCTCCTGCAGCAGCTCACACATGCTTTCATGTTGTTAAATCTGGTTTTGTGTGTTTGCAGAGGAGCTGTTCCGTTTGGGCCCAGAAGAATTAGGATGTCTAGATGAYAAAGACAAACCAGGAGCAAAAGTATATGATGCATAGTGACTGTGTTTATAACCACCATTGTAATTGTGTTTATAGTGAGGAGTAATTTGTTTTTTGTCTGCCCTCAGGTCAGAGTGATTCCCCTGGAGCTTCAGAGGCTGTTTGCCCGCCTGTTGCTGGTGGACCAGCAAAGCGCCTCCACCTCTGACCTCACTGACAGCTTTGGCTGGAACAGCAATGAGGTCTGTGTCCAATTYAGACCATTTCACAGTTTTCTGTGTGCATGGCATTGTGGGTAAGGGCATGAGGTTATCCGATGAAAACAAACCTGCATCGCTATTAAATTTGACAGATGTGACAGTGTTTTTTCCATTTATCTGATGTTTTTTCTTTTTTGTAAATTCTGGTAGAGAAAACACAGGGTCAGGGGAAATGTTGGAGTTAATGTACGGTGGGATTTTTACGAGCAAGGGTTCTATAAGGTGCAATTTTAAGGTTTTATTTGTAAAAAAATTGTGTG